AGTTCTTTCTTTGAATCTCTGATGATGGGTGGGGAGGTAGATAGGGCCAGAAGCAGAGATCTGGTTCGTCTCTTTGGATTAAATGTATTATAGTAGAGTTTTGTGTTGTTGGAGGTTTTTTTGTCTTATTTTGTTTTTCACTTTCTCAAAATGAAAGAGAGTTTTGAGTAATAAATTATAATCTTTTGATAGGTTTCTTATTCTATTTATTTATTTATTTGTTTGTTTGTTTGTTTTCCAGGACAGGGTTTTTCTATGTAGCCCTGGCTATCTTGAAACTTGATCTGTAGACCAGGTTGGCCTTGAATTTACAGAGATCTGCCTGCCTCTGCCTCCCTAGTGCTGGGACTAAAGGCGTGCGCCACCACTGCTTGGCTGTGTTTTTTATCTTTAAAACAATCAGTACAGTTAGGAAAAATCAGAAGGGTTATATTCCTATAATTAGGCAGCTATAAAATCTGTCAGATTTGTGTTAAGATGCCTCCCCACTTTCATTAAACCGATTTCCTTGTTTACCATGTCTTTGTTATCCTGGTGCATAGCAATAGTTGAAGGAATCGTTATATTCCCGCCAGTAGTTTATAGTGAATTGAGGAAGGTAGAGATAATGGGCAGCTTCAGCATCCTGTCAAAGAGATTTAAATAAAGAACACTGTAAGGAGAGGAAGGACACCAACATCATTTAGAAGAAAGGGAGAGAATAGAAATTCAGCTTTAGCCATGGTGAGATTAAGTCTTTGTGGGATTCTGGGTGAAGATATCTAGAAAGTAGAGAATAGAGTTCTGGAAACTAAGAGAACATGTGACTTGCCACCAGCATTTAGTTAGTTCAATTGCAGGTAATAAAGGCTATGAAACAATGAGTTTTATTGACATTCACAAAAATCTTGGAGACTAAATACACATATTTAAATTATAGCCCGATGGATAAAAGGGTAAGGAAAGGCTGAGAAGGGAGTGGGCAGGCATATGGGAATGCATGGGTGGTGTCCAGAAGTAAAAGTAGTTTTTAAAAGGCAGTTGTAAATGTTTGATTAAATACAATGAGTGAATCCATTTATAACAAAAGACTTAAAAAGTCACAGCAACAAAGAGAATGGAAGAAGACTACAGCAAGACATAGATGTTAACCAAATATTCAAACAGTCCAAAAAGAACTCATGTGCAAGAGATTGGGATTCTGCTCTGTTTGCTACTGTTCAGGGAGTAGGGAAGTTACACCCACAGCTCCGACACCAGAGACACTAGGGTCCATACAGGTACCATACTCATGCGTCTCCTGAACTGCTCTGTGTCCTGTTCATACTTCTACAACTCTGCCAGGGTTGAATAGAAGAGAAACAGGAAAATGTGACCAGGGAAGAAACGGAAAATATATAAAGCAGAAGAAAGCTTTTTTAAAATGTAATTATTTTTTCAGAAAGTTAGATATTTCTTAAGTAAAACAAGGAAAAGATGATATTGTCACTTAAAAGGTACAGTGCAAGTAAAATATTTGAAGAGTGTGATAAATCAGTAGAAGAATTTTTAAATCAGTAAAAGGGTTTTAAAAAGTAAATATTCTAGAAAATGATAAAAATTTTTTAAGTAAAATTTTTATTTTTTAAGTAAAAATTTTAAAGTAAGAAATTATTCTGAAGATGTTACATGTGCATAATAAATTCAGGTATGAGACAAGAGGAAACTGGGATGTAGGGAAGGGGAGAGGGGAGGGGGTATGAATATACTTACCAATAAACAGAATAAGATAATTCCCCCACGGAAAGGTCTAATCCAGACCCCAAGGCACATACTGTATTGTTCATTTATATGAAACATCCAGGGTAAATAAATCAAGTGATGGAAAACAGATCTGAACCTGCCAGGGCCTGGAGAGGTACATGGGGGAATAAATGCTTAATGGCTTCTTTTTGGGTGATTAGATGTTTTAGATTTATGAATGTACTAAATATTATTAAATTCCTTTAAAATGGATAGTCTGTGTGAATTTTAGTTGAGAGAGAGCAAAAAATAGTGCTGTGGGACATAAGGCCAGTGGTATAGTACCCTGGGTTCTCTCTATAAGTAAAGGGGCTAGAGTAGGGTAGGGGAATTTAAGAACTTCAAGGATAAAGAGAAGATTCATAGTAAGCAAAATTATAATATGGCAGTATATAAACCCTGAAATTCTTTTTTTTTATTGTTTTTCCCTCTCTACTTTCTAAACTCTTGTATTCTTTTATTTATTTATTTAAAAAATTTTATTTTTATTTTGTGTGTATGATTATTTTGCCTACATGTATGTATTTGTACTATATGCATGCCTGGTGCCCATGGAGACCAGAAGAGAGTATCAGATCCTCTGGGACTGGAGTTACAGATGGGCATGCCACCATGTTGATAATGGGAATGGAACTAGCTCCTCTGCAAGAACACTTTCTCTTAATCACTGAGCAATCTCTGGATTCATAATGGCTAATCTGTCAAGCATTTATTTCTTGTTTATACTGCTTGTCTGTTGTGATGAGAACACTTTGTGCCACATCATTACTCAAGGTTTATGAAGGTTAATAGTCTTAGCCATGATGTTGCCATCTCAAAAGATGATTCTAGAGTTCCTGTAATGTGGGGAGGGTGGGAGTGAGAAGTAGGAAACTCCCATCGTCTCTTAAATGCTTTGGCCTGGGTAGTCTAGGTCTTATAAACCTTTCTCAATGCCACAGAATTGAGGTGTGTCACCTCCAGGTACCGAGAAAGGACAGGCAGATCCGGTATTGTAAGCACTAGAAATCCTTACGACTCATGAAGGACAGGACTCAGATCATCACTGGACTCCAAGTGGAAGCTAGGAAACAGCAGAGCAGTGAGCTTTTAAAACCCAGAAGGGACAGTATTCCGTGAGGCCTACTTAAACTGTCAGAGAGCTATCAGAGTATTGGTAGGAATCATTTATGGTGTCCGTTCCTTTTCATGACATTATCAGAAGTTATGTTACAGTAATAAAAAGAATAAAACAAAGATTTAGAACCCAGGGTCAGGGGCACAGTGCAGGATACAGTTGAGACTAAGGCAGTAAAAGAAAAGGTTGAGGAAAGCCAGTGGGGGTGAGGTGCAGTAAACACAAGCACTTGGGAGGTTGAGGCCGGAGGATCTGAAAGTGGAGACCAGCCTGGGTTACATAGTGAGGCCCTACCTTTTAGCTAACTAGCTAACAGACAAACAACTGGGGAGGGAGGGGTGGAAACGTCATAATATCAGGAATTTTGTTTCAGTGAGAACCTAGACTGAAAAAAAAATAAGTTAGCTTAAAAAGTGTTTAAACTCCTAATATACTGAATGTTGTTTAAGGAAAGAAATACAGCATATTATATAACTCACATGTAAATAGTCAATAAAATACAAATAGATTGATAACATGTATTCCTCTGAAGATAATAGTAAAATTAAGATGGTCATGTGTAAGAGATTTTTGATTAATGTCTACAATGAAAATTTTTTTCCTAGAATATATTATTTAAAAATACAAATGTAGCCGGGCGGTGGTGGCGCACGCCTTTAATCCCAGCACTCGGGAGGCAGAGCCAGGCGGATCTCTGTGAGTTCGAGGCCAGCCTGGTCTCCAAAGCGAGTTCCAGGAAAGGCGCAAAGCTACACAGAGAAACCCTGTCTCGAAAAACCAAAAAAAAAAAAAAAATACAAATGTAATAGACAGGCCTGGTGATGCCTGCCTGTTAATACTATTTATCACATTCAAGGTGGGCCAGAAAGACTTTGAGTTCCAGGCTATCCTGGACTCTGTAGTGACATACTGCCTCAGAAAAACCTAAGTAAATAAATAAATAAATAACTACAAGAAATGTAAATGTAAATAATGGGGAAATGGTTAAAAGTTAGTGCTTGTAGGAAGCGCATTTTGGGAGTGGAGTAGAGTAAGACAGGGGACAGACAGGACAGGTTAGGCCTCACATCTTGTAGGACTAGTGGCTTTTCAAATTGTCTAAGTGTGAAGTGGATACGGTGGCATAGGTCTATATTCCTGACTATCTGGGAGGGTAAAGGAGGAGAATCACAAGTTCAAGGCCAGTATAGGCAACAGCAACTTATGTCTCAAAATAAAATGTAAAAAGAGGCCTGGGAATATTGCTCAGTGGTTAAGTATGTGCCTGTCTTGTACAAGACTCTACCTTCAGTCCCTACTACCCTTCCCCCTAAGAACCTATCTTTGTTTTTAAGAAAGGCAGATAAACAACCTGTAAGAAATGAAAAGGAGCTGTGTGGCCTTGGGAAACCTAGAGGTTGTGGTGGTGTTGGTGTGATTTCAGTCATTGATTAGTGGGTGCAGACTAAATTGCAGTTGAAGGGTCAGAGAACAGAAAAATGGTTTCTCATAGTGTAGAGGAATTGATTGAAGAACACCAGCTGGTATACAGGAGTAGAGAATGAAATATGCAGAATAGATACATCATATGCCTCGGTGAAGTGCAGAATATGAAAAGATGACTTTAAGTACATTGTAAAGATACATTAAATGCTTACAGAGAGTACTTGATAAAGCACAAAGTTATTTTTTATTTCTTTTTCGATTTTAGAGCTAGCTCTTCTAGAATCATCCATTTTCTTGATGTATAATAGTATATAGACTTTTCTGAATTGTGTCAACAGGAAAGAGTGAACTCTTTAAGTGAACTGCCTTCTCAGACTTGCTTCATTTCAGTTTCATACCGTGGCATAGAAATCACATGTGTTTCTTTTGACTCCTTTATACGAAGGTCTAGACTTTACAATAGAATGGTATCTAATGAAAGCAGAGGCGTGTTCTTTCCCAGTTTTCTGCACTGATTTGATTGTTCTAGCAAGTTCAGTTCTCTAGTTCCCTTTCTAGGTCCAAGCTTTTTGTTGAAGCTTGCTCACAGGGATAATGCTATCACCTTTAAATTTGGTCATGGAATGTGCTGCCCTGCTCCACTCAGGGAATGCGGCTCTGTTTGAGCTTGGGTCGTAACGCTTGTTTTCTTTGGCAGAGAAGCTGATTGTCCAGGGGCATCTAACCAAAGTGGCAGAAGACTCAAGGCTTTCAAAAGGTTTGTTTCCTGTTTCCCTATGGTCTGGCACGCACTTTGGATAATGAAAGTTAGTTTAAATTGTCAAGGTATTTTAGCCAAGAGTTTATTTCTTATAGCATATAAAATGTCACTCTAGCAACAGTATCGGATACTATATAAACTATTTAGATGTCTATTTTAAGATAAAATAGGAAAGTTTCTTTTAATGTAGTCCTTTGTGTGTGGTTAAAGTTAATGCTTGCGGTAGGTTTGCTTTTGACCTTTCTGTCTCATTTCTACAATGTTTTCAGTTTTCATATCAAAAGTTTAGTTAATACAATGCAAACCTTTTATGAGTGAAAAATACTTAAAATTTTATTTTGAAAATTATTGTATCTTTAATGTTCTTTATGATATTCAGTATTTCTCTATTTTGTTATCTCAATTTGATTAAAACAAAAGTGGATGACTTTTGCCAATGTAAAATTGTGTTATATTTGATAATTAACAGTCCAGTAATTCTCCAAAGTAGTTTTTGTTTTCTTTTTTTTTCTTCTTTATTTTTATTACAGTTGTTAAACTTAGAGAAGAAAGTTAAAGTTTACTTCATACTGCTACTTTTAAGCATAGGGAAACTAGTTAAATGAATCAGGCGGGATGTGTTCGTTGTTAAGAGTGGAACGTTCATCAGACTTGGCCAGCTTAAAATTGAAAACTAGCTTCATAATCCTCGTCAGTTAAAACAAAGAACGTCCCGAGTTCTTAATGCTTGATTTTGGTATATTTGGTATTGTCAGACTAACTGGTTTGCTTGCTTTTTAAAGTGTTTTTAAACAGATTGTGTTATTCGGATGTCTGGTAGCTTTCCTTCTGAGTTTTGTGCACAGTAGATGCCATATTAGGAGAAAGAATGCACAGACTATGCAATGCTATTATTGTTCTGGCAAACAGGCATTCGGTTTCAGAATAGGAAACTATTTTTAGTACATATGCACTTCATTTCATCTTATTACAGTGAGATGAGAACAGATTCTAAAATAGCCTTTACTTCACCACCTCCGTGCCTATTCTAATCTGTTGATTGAGTAACTGACACTTCAGACTGGAAGCAGAGCAGAGGGCGAAGGTGACCGGGGCTTCTTTAGGAAAGTGCCCAGCGGCCTTAGTGCTCCCTGCATTCTGGAATAGAATGTATTTGCTTGAACTCAGGTGAAGTTTTAGAAAAAGATGTGTGCAACATTACTGATTTTAAAAAATGATGGATTTAAAATACACATAGATAGTTTTGAAGAGCCTGTTTTGATTCAGCATTTCTACTTTTGGGTCTCTTCTTGGTTTTGTTTTTTGAGAAAGGCTCTCATTGTGCAACTTGGTTTAGCCTTGAGCTTCTGTCTCAGCCTCCCAAGTGCTGAGATTACAAATGGGAATGGCTGCATTTGGCTGGGTTCTTATCTCATGGAACAAACTGGACAAGTGTTCAAGGTGCTTTGTTTCAGTTGGATATTTATTAAATCTGTTGTGGCAAATCATTCATGCAAGTGGGTTTAGTCCATTTTCCAAGAATAATACCATAAATATATAAGCTTTACATTTTATTAATCAACATTTGTTAATACTTTTCACTTTGCCAGATTCCCGAGAGCAAGCTGGGTGGCCATAATAGTTATGTTTTAAATGTTTAAATCTGGCTATAAAATACTCTCTTGAATTTGACTAAAATTACTTGTCTTGTAAAAATGCATTTAGTGATCTTTATGTGGACTTTGTCTTTTTTTTCCATTGAAAATGACAGTTGCTAGATTATCAGCTGTTAGCAGACTTACTATTTCCTCTGAAGGCTTCATTTAACATGGTATATAATCATGTCTTGCATGTGCTTTCTGATTTAGGACTAACTCAAGTTACTGTCATTACATATCCATAGTAGCTTAGAAGTGAAAAGGAATACAAGTAGATAATTCTAACTGTATATCCTAAGGCAACTCACTTTAGATCTTTAAACCTGTTTCCCCACTGTTCTTGGTGTGTGTGTTAGGCTGGTTGTTTTGTTTTTGAGACAGGGTCTCACTGTGTATCATTGATTGGATTCAAAGCCATGATGCTCTGATGTCAGCACCCCCTTAGTGCTGGATTACATATGTCTCAGCATGTCTAGGTTTACTTTCTTCATTTGTAAAATGAAATTTAACTTACAGGATTACTGTGGTATTCTTAAAAAACATTTGTGTGTTTGTTTTTGTGGGTATGGGAGTGCACACTTGCCATGCGTGGCATGCCTATATACAGGATGGATGACAGCCTGTGTGAATTGGTTCTCTCCTACCACGTGGGTTCTGGGAATTGAGTTAAAGTTGTCAGGCTTGGAAGCAAGTGTCTTTATCTGCTGAGCCATCTTGTTGGCCCTTACTCGGGAATTTAATGATACACTGCGTATAAGCAGGAAGCTCTGGGCTTACATTGAACAAAGGTTAATACAGCTAGATTTGATACTCAGATCCCAGCATACAGGGGCTAAGACATAAGGAACGCCATGAATCTGAGGCTATTCTGGGATACATAGCAAGTTCCAGGCCAGCTTAAGATATAGATCGAGACCTTGTTTAAAACAAAAACAAAAAAAAGTGAATTCTTTCTCCTTCTTGATCTTCAACTTTACCTTCTTTCCAAGTAATGGGTCCAGTGGTACCTACAGAAATGGCCTATGGTTGGTGTGTTTGTTCTGTGGTAGTTGTGCCTAGTCAACATACCATGCAACAGTTACTGCATATGACTCTCAGTTTAGGAGTAGTTTTGTTACTATGTTGCTAGTTCTTCCATTTTCTTTTATATGTATCTTTTTTTTGTTTGTTTGTTTGTTTTTCCGAGACAGGGTTTCTCTGTGTAGTTTTGGTGCCTGTCCTGGAACTCTGTAGACCAGGCTGGCCTTGAACTCACAGAGATCCGCCTGCCTCTGCCTGGTGTTTAAAGGTGCTGGGATTAAAAGTGTGTTCCACCACCGCCTGGCCTTTTATATGTATCTTAATGATGAAATACTGCAGACAAAAAAATTAATCAGTAGCCGGGCGGCGGTGGCGCACACCTTTAATTCCAGCACTCTGGAGGCAGAGCCAGGAGGATCTCTGTGAGTTCGAGGCCAGCCTGGTCTACAGAACGAGATCCAGGACAGGCACCCAAACTACACGGAGAAACCCTGTCTCGAAAAAAAAAAAAAATTTAATTGTAAGCCGGGCGGTGGTGGCGCACGCCTTTAATCCCAGCACTCGGGAGGCAGAGCCAGGCGGATCTCTGTGAGTTCGAGGCCAGCCTGGGCTACCAAGTGAGTCCCAGGAAAGGCGCAAAGCTACACAGAGAAACCCTGTCTCGAAAAACCAAAAAAAAAAAAAAAAAAAAAAAAAAATTAATCAGTAATGAATTTTTAAAAATACTTTAAAAAGGGGCTGGAGAGATGGCTCAGCAGATAAGAGTACTTGCTGCTCTTTCTAAGTACCAGAGTTCAGTTCCCAGTACCCACATCAGGTGATTCACAACCATCTGTGATTCCATCTCCAGAGAATCAGACACCTCTGGCCCTCTGTAGGCACTTGCAGTTGTATGCACATATCCACATGCAGACACACACATCTACAGTGAGTTAAAAATAGTACTTTCTAAAGATTGATTTTTGCTGTTTTCAGATTATGTATATATTATATGCATGTCTCTGTGTTGGCGTATACATACATGTAAGTGCAGGTTCCCTCAAAATCCAGAAGAGGGTGTTAGAGCCTCTGGAGCTAGAGTTACAGGTGGCTGTAAGCTGCCCAAGTCAAGTGCTGGGAACTGAACTCAGGTCATCTGGAAGAGCAATGCAAAGTCTGAACAGTTAAGTCATCTCTAGCTCTAGTAATAACTTTTTAATAATACAGAGTTAGATGCTGCTTCATGACCAAAAATAGATTTTTTAAAAAGAAATAGATGTTCTATCATTTGTTTGTTCTGTCTTCTGTTTCATTCTTGAATGGATTTAGTGAAGTTAGTAAATACCCTCATGTCCCCATCTCTAGCAATAGGCATTGATTGATACCTTTGTTGTGTATGCTACCAGACCTTGAAAATACTTGTGTAACAAAAACTTCATAGCTTGTTGGGTATGCGCTGTAATCCCAGCACTTACTAGCTGAGGCAGGAGATTCATAAGTAAGAGGTAAGCATGGGCTACACAATGAATCCCTGTCTCAAGAAAGAAAAAAAGGGAGGCAGGGGGAGAAGCAAAATCTCTAAATAGCTTGAACTAAATATATAAATATTTTAAATCAATCTCTGTGTGTGTGTGTGTATATATATAGATGTATATATTATACTTACTTTAATTTTTAGTTAATAATATTAAGTACCAATACATATTTAATCTTCCCATAATGATAGTACTGTAAGGAACATCCTTATGTAATACCTCACATAATCAATTATTTCCTTAGGGAAAAATAAAAGTGGGTTTATACATTTCATTTATTTATTAGATGTATTATATATATATATGGACACATATATATGTAATACTCTGCATGTATGTATGTGTACCATATATGTGTCTGGTGCCCACAGAAGGCAAAAGGGGTCTTGGATCTCCAGCACCTGGAGTTATAGTCAGTTGTGAGCCACTTTGTTGGTGCTGGAACCAAACCAAGATTCCCTGTGAGAGTAGGAAATGCTCTTAACTGCTGAGGCATCACTCCAGTTCATGGTTTTGCATATTTTAAATTTTGATATATATTGTCACAATGGTACAGTCAGATATATGCCATGATTATTTATGATCAGGAAGATAGTAATCCACTTAATGAATATGATTATCTCATTAGAGAAATAACATCTGTATACCCCAGAAAGTGGAGTATGATCAACAGGGGGTGGGGTGCGGTAGGGTAGGGTGGGTGGGGGGATACACCAGAAAATATATAATAAAAAAGAGTAACATACTAGAAAAATACTTATTTCCTTGGAAGTAATGAGGTAGAAGCTATACCTTACAACATGGGCCAGATAGAGAGAATGGCTGTTGAGGTTAGGAAGTGTAGATCCAAGCAAAGAACTGCAGTCTCTAATGAGCCGTTAGGCACAGCCCTATAAAGAAGCCTGCATAACTGAACCCTGTGCGGATTAATACAGGCATGACATTATGGCTAAATTTTGCAATATGAAGCTTAGTTGATGCCTAGAAGTGATGTTATAGAATTTAGTTGAGGAAGTGACCTTCTCTGTACTCACTATCCTAAAGAATGCCAAAGAATATATAGGTATGCTACTATATTGATTGGGACTTAGTCACTTATAATCTTTAATAAACTGTCAGTCTATGATTGGACTTTTGAGGGCAGTGGCCTAGAATGGCCTGGTCAGATGTGGCAGAGTATCTCTTGAAAACATACCGGAACCTTTAGAACAGGTGCCCCTTCTTGTTGTAATTCCCATTCATTGTGTTGTCTTTAGAAATGGGCTCCTCAGGGAAGGGGTACTTTTATACTTATAAATTTAGAGTGATTTTGTGACGGCACTGAGGGAAACCTCCAGCCTTTTCCTTCGGTCATCTTCAGTTTCCTCTTTGCCCTGGGAACTCTGCTGCATTTGGTGTCTTTCCTGATTACTGTAACAAAGCTGGCTGCAGTTTGTTCCTGGTTGATAAGTGGACAGACTCGAGTAAGAGCCCAGCCCTCCGCACAGCAGGCAGGACCCACACTGTGATTTGCTGTAAACTCTGAGAAATAACCAGTACTGCATTTTTAATCGGGTGGTGAAGAGCAAAGAGACTGAGTGATCTTAGTTGGTTTTTAACACGATTTTGCATAGGCACAGATTCTGAGCATTCATACTTAAAGCGGTTTTCTTGAGAGAAGGTGTTGAGTTATGGTAACATTTTGACTTTTGTGTTTTTCCTAATAGAAAACCAGGCAAGAGCAAAGGAATCTGACTTATCAGATACTCTGAGTCCAAGCAAGGAAAAAAGCAGCGACGACACTACAGGTGAGTTTTAACTCGTGTTTACAAATCTGAACAGCCTCCTGGCAGTTTAGGTTATTAGTTAATGTGGTTGGAAATTCAGAGTTGGTTTTTAGTGAAAAAGCAGTGTTTTGACTTCATAAAATCTTGGATATTTTGTTAAAACTATTTTCAACTATCCAAGCATAGGAGATGTGTACTTTTGATTTATTGTGATAATAATAACTTGCTGATAGATTTATCAACTCTAATTCTCTTTCTCCCCTTGTAGACGCCCAGATGGATGAGCAAGACCTAAACGAACCCATTGCTAAGGTGTCTCTTTTAAAAGGTACTTTAATATGTTGTCACATCATTTTAAGTCTGTTTCATGTGTATGAAGCTTTACGTTTTACTTTGCTGATTAAAAAGGTTGTGTACAGTAGGAGGGACTGACTTGAAAGTGTTGGTGCCAGCACTGCTAAAGACACATGTGCACATCTAATCACGGACTCACCGGTCAGTTTTCTTTGCCGGTCTTCCTCACTTCCCGGTAATTGCCGAGTTCTCAAGAGGCCCTTTGAGAAGCACGGGGCTAAGGTTTTTCTTTCTCTTTCACAGTTACATCTTCCCTCTTGTTCATGTCCCCTTTTCCTTATTGTTGTTACGTGTGTGTGCATAAACACATGAATACAGCCTGCGTAGTCTGTTTAGTAGTGTAGCCTCTGTGTGTGTGGTTTCAGGGCTGTGAGGTCCCTTAATAGTCTTCATACTGGATTGGATAACCATCCCTGGGGAAGATGGAGTCTCCTGCTCTCACTGGGCTGAGAGGTGCTGTGCTGAACCTCTTTACTTGTCTCCCCCCCAAAAAGGAAGTACGTTTATTTCTTGGTAGTTGCTCTTAAAATACAGTGGATAGAATGTGTCAATTATTTACATAAGGATTTTAAAATAAATTGTCTTGGGGAAACTTATTGGTAAACCTGTGATTCTGAGCATATACTTTTTTCCTTGTCTCACTTTACACAAAGTTTCTGACCAGTGGATGGACATGTGGGGAGTGGTGGACTACCACCAACCAGCAAGCTCTCTGGGAGGAGAACAACAGTGGTAGCTGTTGAAGGTTCTTTGTGTACACATATCTATTGTTCTAGTCTATTAAGGGACCTCACAGCCCAGACTCTGGATTTTGAGATATGAGGAACGAGGCTTGGTTCATCCCGCATGATCCTGCTGCTGGCCTAGTTTAACCATGGCAAGAATGAGTTTACTCAGATTCTCCCAGTGGTCTTTTCTCTGGACACCCTCACTTTCTTTCTCCTTCTCCATGGATGCTGAAAATCACATGGCTGCTGGAACCAGTTTTGACTGAATTCCACAGTCCAGAGATGTTCCTGAGGATTGCTGACCCAGACAGCCAATGTGTCCTTCAGTCTGATCACAGTTTCCTTTACTTACTGATCTGTACAGCTCCTAGGTGACTTTTGGGTTGAAAAGGCATGATTTTTTTCATGTCATAGTAATTAAAATAAGTGAATGTTTGCACAGTTTAGAAATCTTGATAGCAATGCAAAACTATTATTGTATAAGATGCTATCGATACTGGAAAAAAGGGATGAGGTCATTGTTAAGAGCACCTGCCACTCCGGAGCAAGGCCCTGGGTTTGCAAGATTCCCAGCATGCAAAACAAATAAACAAGCAAACAAACAGACTGGTACTAGGGAAGGGATTATTGTAAACAAACAGACAAAAGAGCTGATACTGGGCAGAGGTAAACAGAACCTCAGTGCTTTATGGAAACATGAAAAAATAAGAAAGGATGAAATTTAAGTAATAAACAATCATAAAGGAAATTTAAGTAATAAACTCTCATAAAAGTGGCAGTTTATATGGTCTTTTGTGCTGCATAAATATCTTAAATCTTGTCAGCTAAATTTGGATTCATTTTTAAGTAGCATTGTGATTGTGTTAATTGTATTCAACTGTTATTAATGCTTTTTATTTATTTCAATTTATTTTTAATTATGTGTATGTATAGATAGAGGAAGACCCCTAACATTGACCTCTGGCCTCTATATTCACAAGTACACATGCATGTGTCCACACATATGCATACATGTATGGACACATATATACCCATACACCATATACATTCACATGCATGCACATACACACTCATACTCTCTGTCTCTCTCCCTCCATTCCTCCTTCCTTCCCTCTCTTCTTACACTTCTGTGTGATTGCCAACTTTTGTTAATGAAATAGTATTTTTAACAATAGCTGTTCAAAGATTTTGAAGCTGGATGTGATGGCACATGCCTATAATGTCAACATTAGGGAGGGCAGGAGAGAAAGGAACTCAAGGCCATCTTCAACTGTATAGCAAATTTAGAGGCCCATTTGCCTCTCAGTAAAATAGAAAGATTTTACAACTTGATTTTTTAAAATTATTTTTAGATTTATTTCATTTTTAATTAACTATATGTGTATGTCTATGTGCAAGTAAGTGCACATGAGTGCAGGTACCTGTGGAGGCCAGAAGAGGTTATTAGATTCTTTGGAGGTGGAGTTACAGGAATTTGTAAGCTGCCTTTTGTGGATGCTAGGAACTGAATTTTGGTACTTTGTCAAAGCAGTACACACTCTGAACTGCTGAGCCATCTCTCCAGCGCCTCACAGCTTGGTTTTTAAGAACAGAATGGTAAAGACCAGAGCAGTGGCTCAATGGAAGAGCACACGCTGCTCTGGAGGACTTGAGTTTGGTTCTCAGCACCAACAAAGTGGTTTACAGCAATCCATAACTCTAGTTTGAGAGGACCCAGTACCCTCTGACTCCTGTGGGGCACCAGGTGTGAATGTGGTGTGCATGAATGCATGCAGGAGAAACACTCATACATATAAAATAAAAATCTTTAAGGAGAGAACAGAGTGTTAAGTCATTACATGCTTGACTAGGAGCAGGTGAATTTTATCAAAGTTGTCAAGAAATAACCGCTATTACTTTAAATGGTGATTATTGTTTTTCCTTTGTAAGAGCTTTATGTATTCCTAAAATTATTTATTTACTATAAGTTACTAGAAACATTTAAATTGTGCTTTATTATGTGTGGTTATGATTTGTAATCTACATAATTAGGTGTAATAGTTTGACAGAATTTTCTGGTTTGATATGGGATAGTTGAGACTGCAGTACCCCAGCTTTCGAGTGGTGGGATTATAGTGGTATACTACCACATACAACTTGGAATTCTCTCTTAAAGAAAGAGGGTAAATTATCAGACTCAGCCTACAAAAGAAAAGATAGAGAAAATACATTAGGCTGCCGAAGGCTTCCATTTACCCCATTTGAATATTTCCCACTAATACTCATCACCAGACTTTCCCCAAGGCTGTGAAGCAGACTGATTAAAAAAAATTCCTTTTTTAGAAAAAAAATAGGGCGCAGTGAAAGTAGACTTAAACACAATAAATTAAACTAATAAAGCACTTTCCCAGTAAACCTTATGAAAAACAGATGTTTAATCAACCTTAGCACAGAAAGATTTCTCATTCGTCTTTGAAAAAATCGGTTTTGGTTGTTTAGCAGGAGGATTTGCACACTAACTGTGTGATTAGTTTGAATGTGGTCATTTGTGTTTATTGCACCAAACTTAATTTGTGAAAATTTTAGTCAGTAGTAGTAGTAGTAGTAGTACTCTTGTGACCAAATGCTCTAGAGTTTGTGTTTGTGTGATTTAATACATACCATCTTACTTTTTGTAATTAAAATGTTGGTTCTTTCTATGGTTCAGAGAACTAATTCGAAAATATGCTCCCTTGTATGAGTACAGCTCATTATGCATTGATTATATCTTTCCTTTTAAAATGTGATTGCTTAGCATAAAACCCACTTCCTTTGTATTTCTTTTGAAAGCAAAGTGCTTGCTGTGTTAGTTTTGTTTCACAGCTTGACCTAGCTCGAGAAGTGTTCTGCTGGGCATGAGAATTGTCTGTCTATAGACTTCAGAGATGGATCCTCTTATTAAAGCAAAGCATCTTTGCTTTAGCTGTTATAGTAATTCATTTACTCTTACTGTGCTCATAATGATTAAACCAGAAGGGCAAGATAAGCTGATGGAATTTAGTCAGAAATGATTGGGGCTTGTCCTAAGATGGTGGCATTAGGATTGGTTACTTTAAGAGAGATTTTTTTTTTTTAACTATTAAAAAAATGCAAACATGGTAAATGCTGAAGATAACCAGGAACACCTGTATATGCTTACTTCCTAGATTCAGTAAGTTTTGATATTCTGCATTCCCTCTATTTAAATATATGTAGGTGTTTTCTTTTAATATTTTTACTTTGACATAATTCCTGACCTATAGAAAAGTTATAGCCTTAGGACTAAGAGTCCCATATATTCTTCATTCAGATTCCCCAAATGTAAGTATTATACCCATAGTTGTTCACTTTATCAAATTTTATTCATCATTATTTTCTCCATCTCTCTCTTTTTACCTGTGGATCACTCAGACATGATAGCCTTTACTCCTAAATACTTTGCTACACATATCTAGCTCCTCTTATGTGACTGCTATACCATTCTCAAAATTAAGAACTTAACATTGATGTGTAACTGTACTCCCAATCTGCAGACTTTATTCTCATTTTTCTGTTGTCTTTGTAATGTGCCGATGACAAAAGAGTCCTGAATCACATATTGCTTTTGTCATGTCTCTCCAGACTCCTTTGAGTTTTATGACATTAACAGTTTTGAACAGCATGGGACAATTAAAATGTCTCTCAGTTTGTATGTGACTAATACCTCCTCATGACTAGATTAAAAACTATGTATATTTACAGAAATATTAGGTCTCATGTCAGAAAGTGCCTGATAGTGAATTGTTCCATTGTTGGTGACATTAACCTTGACTATTTAAGGTGTTGTTTCTCAGGTTTCTCCTTGCAAAGTAACTAATTTTCTTTTTGTAACTAATGAGTATCTTGTGGAGAATTGCCTGTGACTACATACATGTTCTATTGAACCTCAGATTTGTTATTACATGTGTTTAGCATATGCTGATTATTTTCACCTGAGTAGTTACTGCTGTAGTAGGGATCAAAGAATGGTTTCATAACTATAATTTCTTACATATTTATCTTCTTACCTCCTACTGTAGTAAGAATCTTTATTTTACTTTTTGCTACAAGGTCTCACCCTATAGCCCAGGCTAACCTAGAACTTGCTGTGTAGTAAAGCTGAACTACTTGCAAGCAAAAGAATGTAAAACCCAACTAGAATGTAATATAAATATATTACTTACTGGATGATGTTGGTCAGTGTTCTATAGCCAAAATATTTTTAAATATTTGATTTTGTGTGTGTGTGTGTGTGTGTGTGTGTGTGTGTGTGTGTGTGTGTGTGTGTGTATGTATGTGTGTGCATTTGTGTATGCCTTTATTTTTTTGCGGGTGTGATGGTGGTGGTATGTGTATGCCTGTGTGCACTCAGAGGCCAGAAAAGGATATGAGATCCTTTGGAGCTCTAGTAACAGGTATTTGCAAGATACCTAGCTTGTTACCTGGGTGCCAGAATCTGAATTCTAGTCCTCATGGTTGCTTAGCAAACTCTCTTAGCCACTGAGTCACCTTTCTAACCCACTAGAAGTTTCAATACAGCAAAGATGAGCAACAGAGTAGAAAGGAAAGAGGTTAGGAAAGTGGCATATTTGAGGTATAATGCTGGATTAAATTTACTTTAGTTAAATCGCTAAGATGACATCAGTTAATAATTCGGCAAGTATGTTTACATGCTGTGATATGTTAGTGGGTACAAATTAGATACAGTTGAGTAGTTTTTATTGTGTGTTTAGGGCTGATTTTGTTTTTTTTAAACTGTAACTACTTTGTTTCCCCATTACCCTTCCCTCCTTTCAATTCCTCTTATGCTACCCTCAAATGGTCTCTGCTTCTTTAAATGTTATCACACACACACACACACACACACACACACACACACGCACACGCACACGCACACGCACACACACACGCACACACACACACACACACACACACACGCTTTTTTTTGTTTTGTATTCTACAAGTAACATTGTAATAATACTTTAAAAAACTGTTTTTTTTTTTTTTTTTTTTTTTTTTTTTGCTAGTGTACACCTTTAGTCCTAGCATTCAGGAGGCAGAGACAGACAGATCTCATGCCAGCCTAGTTTGCATACTGAGATTCAGACTAGACAGGGATACATAGTGAGATTCTTTCTTAACAAATACAAACACTCACAACACACATACAGCAAAAACAAACAGATAAAACCGGAAGTTTTTCATTGTTGTTTGTTTTAATTTAGTTTGTTTGTTGGGGGGTGGGGTGGGGTGGGGTGGGGTGGGGTGGGGTGGGGGAGGTGTGCGTGCAGAGTTAAGAGGACAACTCGTAGGGAGTCTGTTCCATCCTGCTGTCCTGTGGGATTCCAGGGTGGGACACAGATCCCTGGGTCTGCTTGGATATGCCTCTACCCACTGAGCCTTGCTGGTCCTCATTTTCTTTCTTGAAGAAGAATTTCTTTTGTTTTTCCATTTTTATTTAAGTTCCAAGTAAATTTTTTTTTGTCTTATTGTTAAATTTCAAAACTGATAGAGAAGGAAGTGGAAAGAGGGCTCATCTGGTAAATTAGGCACCGCTGCCAGGCCTGGTGACCTGAGTTCGATCCCTGGGACTGCATGGTGGAGCGGAAGAGCCAACTTCCTTATGGCCTCTACGCATGCACTGTGGCCTCTCTCTCTCTCTCTCTCTCTCTCTCTTTCTCTCTCTCTCTCTCTCTCTCTCTCTCTCTCTCTCACACACACACACACACACACACACACACACACACACACACACACACACACAGAGAGAGAGAGAGAAATAACAATAGTAATAATAAATATAATTTGAAAATTGATGGAGAACAGTGTTATGCCTATCTCACCAAATTTCAAGTTTTACAGGAGCTGTATGTTAATTTCTGTATTTTATAGTACTAGTATCCATGTTAACTCTGTGTTGTCGAAGGTAAAGTTAACTAATATGCTTACTCTAATTTGTTTAACTCAGTTGTGCCATGTGATTAGCTGTGTGTGTGTCTAAACATAAAAAAGAGCACTAGATTTTAACTATAGAGATTATAGTGCAGTACTAACACTTGCTTTTAAAATAAATATGTTTTTGTCAGATGACTTGCAGGGTGCACAGTCAGAAACTGAGACCAAACAAGAAATTCAGCATCTTCGAAAAGAATTGATCGAAGCCCAGGAGCTAGCTAGAGCAAGTAAACAAAAATGCTTTGAACTTCAAGGTGAGATCAAGATCACTGCAACTCCCCGGGGGCCTGTGAAAGCAGACAGTGTGCTTTGATGTCAGAAAACTCAGAACCCAGAGGCATACAGCAGGGTCTCCAGAGTCAGGGCTTTGCTAGACTTGTTCTCAGACATCCATTCAACCTTCTAAGCTTCCATTTCAGATGGTAAGATGAGAACTGTGGCAGTGGTGGTGCAGGCCTTTAATCCCAGCACTCAGGAGGCAGAGGCAGGTGGGTCTCTGACTTGGAGGCCAGCCTGGTCTACAGAGCAAGTTCCTGGACAACCAAGTACCTTATCTGAAGTGGTTGGGGTCAAAAGTTTCAAATTTCATAGTTCAAATGTGAGATGCCCAATCAATCAATTTACTTGGTGGAACCCCGTAAATTGAGTTATACTTAATATTAGTGCTCAGTTTGGGGCGGGGAATTTATTTAACAGTAAGGCTGTAGGCAAGGTTCAGAGTATGGGATCTTCTGAGCTGAGCACAGTGGTACATGTGGAGGAAAGAAGAGCACAAGTTTGAGGCCAGCCTGGGTAGCTAGACTCCCTCAGAAGAGAAAAGAAAAAGGGATAGGATCTCCTCTGTGAAAAAGGGATAGGATCTCCTCTGTGAAAAAGGGATAGGATCTCCTCTGTGAAAAAGGGATAGGATCTCCTCTTGGCCACTTCTTCTTGTGGCCCTTCTCATAACCATTTGCCAGTGGGCCCTGCTGTTCTCTGGACCTTAGGCTTCCTTAGCATTCCAGTGTTTGCCCTTTGGCAATGAATCTTGGAGAGTCCTAAGATCTCATGGATTCTTAGGGCATCCTTAGGTTTTATAAGATGCACTTCCTGAGCTGAAGAACAATTAATGCCAAGAAGAAGCTGGGATCTTCTTATGACTATTTCCTTTCCTGATTTTTAAAGACATTACTGTCTTGATGAGCTGTGAGGATGGTAGCTCAAGGTAGCTATAGCTTGGTATAAGGCCAGTCTAGCTTGGTGAAACCCTGGCTTTGATCCCCAGATCCGCAAAAATTAAAAAAAAAACAAAACAAAACAACAAACAGGCATTCCTTTCTCTTGACTCTTAGAGGATACAGGCTAATACTTAATTACCATGAAAAAATATTTAGCAATCAGCCTTTAATTTGTATTTGCTATGTGCTTCATAGTAAACACAAGAATGTTATTTTTCGGGGTTTTTTTTTAATTTCGTTTTGTCTTGGTGTGTGATTTTTAAGATTTGTTTTGTTCATTTGTAGTTGGAGGGTGGTTTTGGTTTTGAGATAGGGTCTCACTACATAGCCCTTGCTGGCAAGGGCCGCTACACAGACCAGGCTTGCTTGAACTCACAGAGATCTGTCTGCCTCTGTTATCTGAGTGCTGGGATTAGGCTAAAGTGTGCAATACCATGCCTGGTCCTTAATAAATTACTCGTTTTTAATGGTGCCAGGGCTTGTACCTGGGCCTTGGTGTATAGTAGGCAAGCACTCCACCCCTGAGGTATATTTCTAATCCTCTTTTATAGAGAGGGTCCTCCAACATAGCCGAGGCTAGCTTTGAGTTCAATGTGTAGCTGAGGCTGGCCTTGAACTTGTGAACTTCTTTGCTTTAGCCTTCCTAGTATTTGGGATTATAAGCCTGTGCTATCAGACAGTGATGATTACTAATTATTAGGATATTTCTTGTGTAAGAAAGGCTTGTTGGTGGTATGGTATGTAGAAACTCTGTAACTGGATTTTATAGATTTGTTACTTACTATTGTTTTGTGTTCCTAAAATCTTAATGGCTAATATCGATAATACTTATCACCTAACTCTTGTGTCTTTCAGTAAACTATGAAAGAAAAATTTTAGAAATTTTAGCTATGCAATTGTGAATGCTTTTCATTAACTCACAAAATTCGATCTACCTTGTTTTTGCTTTTTAGCTCTTTTGGAAGAAGAACGTAAAGCCTATCGAAATCAAGTTGAGGAATCTGCTAAACAAATACAGGTTCTTCAAGGTATGGGGCATCCCAAGACTGAGATGGCTGTGGTTATTGTCTGGTTCGGTGATTGAAAAGGCATGACACAGTAAGATTGCAGAGTCCTCTGTCATGCCTCTGGTTCTTCCCTAGAAACTGTTACACTGGCCTCTTGGACATTTTTTCTTTAAAGGATATGACAGGGAGGGATTGTCCCATTAACCCAGTAAAAGGCAGGGGTGATGCTAACTGTGGTGGTGCATGTCTGTAATCTCAAGAGACGAGGCAGGAAGGTCATGAGTTCAAGACCCACCTCAGCTACATAATGAATTTGAGGTTTGCCGGAGCTAAATAAAACTTTGTCTCACCCCCTCACCCAAAATATTTTCACCACCCCCTCACCCAAAGTATTTTCACCAGCAAGAGGACAGAAAAATATGTATTACATATAAACATACATATATATCCCTTTCTACTTAATGCTTGTTTTTATATCTGTATGAAGGCATTAGAAAAACAAAGAAAATAATTACCAAAATATTAAAATAAATCTCATCTCTGTGGGGGAAAATAAAATTTGTTTTAGACTTTTGGCTTTTCGCTTTTGCATCTGTATTTTGGCATTTCATGTGTCTAACACGGATTGCTTGTGTAATTTAATCGAAAGAAACAGCTATGACAGCTAGGCTACATAAAAGCTGTGTCCTATAATGTTTTGTAATTTTGTTCCTAGTTCCTATGAACTTAAGAAAATGATAGTTAATACACTTTTACAGTCCAGCTGCAGAGGTTACATGTGGATATGGAGAATCTCCAAGAGGAAAAGGACACTGAAATCTCCAGCACAAGAGATAAATTGCTTAGTGCCCAAGATGAGATTTTGCTCCTTCATCAAGCAGCGGCAAAGGCTGCTTCTGAGCGGGACACTGACTTTGCTTCTTTGCAAGAAGAGCTTAAGAAGGTGAGAGCGGAGCTTGAGGGTTGGAGGAAAGCAGCGTCTGAATATGAGAAAGAAATCACCAGTTTACAGAGCAGTTTCCAGCTTAGATGTCAGCAGTGTGAAGACCAGCAAAGAGAGGAGGCAACAAGGTTGCAAGGTGAGTGAGTGAATGTTTAGGTGCAAAGCTCCTAACTCCTGCTTTCAGGGACTAGGAGGGGGTGGCCCTTAGTCACACCATGTTGTCCCAGCTCACACCTGGCAGCAGTGATTGTTCTCTTTGATAGAAGGTAACTGTATAAACCAGGGCTTCTGTATTAGGGCTGTAGGTATATTCTGCAGGTCTACAGGTTCCGTGATAAGTGTGTTTTTACAGTCATGTACTATTAGTCCTTTATAATGCCATTGAGGAGTATATGTCATAACAGTGGAGCACACCCATAATCCCAGCACCTGGGAAGTAGAGACCAGAGGATTATGAGTGTAAGGCCTGCCTCGGTTATATCCTGAGAGTGTATGTCAAAAATAAGCAAACAATAACATTATTGTCTTAAAACAGTGAAGCAGCCAGGCATAGTGGAACCCACGCATAGTGCCAGTGCTTGGGAGGCAGAGGCAAGTGGTGCGCTGTGAGTTTGTGGCCAGCCTGGTTTACATAGAACTGTCCCAGCCAGTCTGGGCTCCACAGTGACCTCCTGGCCAACAAACAAACCAACCAGCAAACAGTGAAGGAAAAGAAATGCCCTGTTTTTTAAGGTGACAGCATCTCTTTGCACAATAGAAGCAAAGTGATAAAAAAAAAAAGACTGTTCTATAAAAACCTACATGCTTTGAAGAGTGGAAAATGTATTCTCTGAAATGTTACTATGTCTCCTTTGAATACAGGTGGTTTTGGTTCCTATATTAACAAATACATTTTGCGGCTATTTTAGGTGAACTAGAGAAGTTGAAAAAGGAATGGAATGTATTGGAAACTGAATGCCATTCTCTAAAAAAGGAAAATGTTTTGTTGTCATCAGAACTGCAGCGGCAAGAAAAAGAATTGCACAAGTATGTAAGAATTTCCTTTTAACTTCAAAATATTTATCTTTAATTTTTATGGAAATTAAATTTTGATACTTAAATACCATTTTGGAGGAAAATGTTCAGCCAAACTGGTTATTTGACAAGTTAAACATAGTAAGTATTGCATCGTTTCATTCCTTTTACCACTGTATCCTGTAAGCAAGCTCCTTTTGGAATACCCTAGAATTCAGATCCAGTTAGATGCCCCTGCTGTACCATTCTCCACTGCTGAAAACAAACAGCGCAGATTCAAACCAGAAACTGCCCTGTTAACAAAATGACAGTACATTTCACATATAAAATGATTGTTCTTTCACTCTATTGATCTGTTAGTAAGAGTGGTGATCTATAACAAAGAATTTACCATAAGAGGGATGAATTTAGCTTCTAAATCACACAGGATGTGGCTAGGAATATAGCAAACTACTAGAGGACTTGAGGCCATGGGTTCTATTCCTTGCTTGAGGGAGGGGGATGATAGAGAGATTTTGAGAGAGTGAGATTGGACCATGGCTTGCTCTAATCTGAATAGCCAAAATAGGAAGCTCTGGGTTCAATAAGACCTTGTCTTTGGAGGAAGACATCTAACACTGATTTTAGCCTTCCCTTAGGCTGGAATAGATGTACACACTTGTACATATACAGGTGCAAACACACATATCACATATCTTGATGCATATAAATAGGCTACACACACACACACACACACACACACACACACACACACACACACACACACACACACACACAGGAGCTAATCAATATGGTGGCACACCTCTGTAATCCCAGCACTTAGGAGGCAGAGGCAGGAGGACCAGGAGTTCAGTGCCCTTTTTCACTCTACAGTTTGGGCAGCATTACCTCTATCCCTCATCCCTCCTAATCAGTAAGGAAATACCTGAAGGAACAAGATCTGCTGGTTTATTCTCTAAAGCACCTCATTATAATACTATGAAATCTCAGCATAAGGATGCATAAAGCACTTTGATATTCTCTCTCTCTCTTTTTTGGTGTAAATTCTTTTCTTTTTTAAAAAAATTTTTTTATTTTATTATTAACTTAATTTCACATATCAGCCACGGATTCCCCCGTCCTCCCTCCTCCCACCCCCAGCCCTCCCCCCAGTCCACTCCCCATGCCCACCTCCTCCAAGGCAAGGTCTCCCCTGGGGAGTCAGCCCAGCCTGGTAGACTCAGCCGAGGCAGGTCCAGTCCACTCCTCCCTACACCAAGGCTGAGCAAAATGTCCTAGCATAGGCTCCAGGCTCCAAGCTCCAAAAAAGCCAGCCCATGCACCAAGGACAGGTCTTGGCTCCACTGCCTGGGGGCCTCCCAAACAGTTCAAACTAATCAACTGTCTCACTTATCCAGAGGGCCTGGTCCAGTTCCATGGGGACTCCTCAGCCAATGGTTCACAGTTCATGTGTTTCCACTAGTTTGGCTATTTGTCCTTGTGCTTTTTCCAGTCATGGTCTCAATAGCTCTCGCTCATACAATCCCTTCTCTCTCTCTCTCACCAATTGGACTCCCGGAGCTCCACCTGGGGCTTGGCCGTGGATCTCTGCATCCCCTTCGATCAGACACTGGATGAGAGTTCTATCATGACAGCCAGGGTTTTTAAAGATTTTATGTATTTTTATTTTATATGTGTTTTGTCTGTATGTAAGTAAGAGTACCATGCATATGTAGTGGGCATTGGATTCTGTAGAACCATAATCATTCCCTGGAACTAGAATTACAGATAGTTGTGAGCTGCCATGAGGTGCTGGAACCCAAACCTGGGTCCTCTGGAACACCAGCTAGTCCTCTTAACCACCGAACCATCTCTCCAGTCCCTGATTTTTCTCTTCTAATGCCATTACTTTTTTTTTTTTTAAATTTATTTTAATTTATTTTGCAATACAATTCAGTTCTACATATCAGCCACGGATTCCCTTGTTCTCCCCCCTCCCGTCCCCCTCACCTTCCCCCAACCCCCGCCCCCCATTCCCATCTCCTCCAGGGCAAAGCCTTCCCCACAGACTGAGGTCAACCTGGTAGACTCAGTCCAGGTAGGTCTAGTCACCTCCTCCCAGGCCGAGCCAAACAATCCTGCATAGGCCCCAGGTTTCAAACAGCCAACTCATGCAATGAGCACAAGATCTGGTCCCACTGCCTGGATGCCTCCCAAACAGATCAAGCCAATCAACTGTCTCACCCATTCGGAGGGCCTGATCCAGTGGGGACCCCTCAGCCATTGGTTCATAGTTCATGTGTTTCCATTCATTTGGCTATTTGTCCCTGTGCTTTATCCAACCTTGGTCTCAACAATTCTCGCTCATATAAACCCTCCTCATTCTCGCTAATTGGACTCCCAGAGATCCACCCAGGGCTTAGTCATGGATCTCTGCATCCAGATCCCTCAGTAGTTGGATGAGGTTTCTAGCACAACAATTAGGGTGTTTGGCCATCCCATCACCAGAGTAGGTCAGTTCAGGCTGTCTCTCAACCATTGCCGGCAGTTTGTTGTTTTGGTATCTTTGTGGATTTCTGTGGGCCTCTCTAGCACTTTGCTTCTTCCTATTCTCATGTGGTCTTCATTTACCATGGTCTCCTATTCCTTGTTCTCCCTCTCTGTTGTTGATCCAGCTGGGATCTCCCGCTCCCCCAAGCTCTCTTTCCCTCGACCCTCGCCTTTTATTACCCCCACTCATGTCCGGGCTGTTCATGTAGATCTCATTCCATTTCTCTGTCATTGGGCGATCCCTGTGTCTTTCTTGGGGTCCTGTTTTCCAGGTAGCCTCCCTGGTGATGTGAGTAGCAGACAAGTCATCCTTGTTTCATGTCTAGTATCCTGCTATGAGTGAGTACATACCATGTTTGTCTTTCTGAGTCTGGGTTACCTCACTCAGGATGATTTTTTCTAGATCCATCCATTTGTCTGCAAACCTCATGATGCCATTGTTTTTCTCTGCTGAGTAGTATTCCATTGTGTATATGTACCACATTTTGTTTATCCATTCTTCAGTTGAAGGGCATCTAGGTTGTTTCCATGTTCTGGCTATTACAAACAATGCTGATATGAACATAGCTGAACAAGTGCTCTTATGGTGTGGTTGAGCATTCCTTGGGTATATGCCCAAGAGTGGTATAGCTGGATCTTGGGGGAGATTGATTCCCAATTTTCTAAGAAAGCGCCATATTGATTTCCAAAGTGGTTGTACAAGCTTGCATTCCCACCAGCAGTGGAGGAGAGTTCCCCTAGCTCCACATCCTCTCCAGCATAAGGTGTCTTCAGTGTTTTTGATCTTAGCCATTCTGACAGGCGTAAGGTGGTATCTCAGAGTTGTTTTGATTTGCATTTCCCTGATGATTAGGGATGTTGAGCAATTCCTTAAATGTCTTTCGGCCATTTGAGTTTCCTCTGTTGAGAATTCTCTGTTTAGTTCTATAGCCCATTTCTTAATTGGACTGTTGGGCAGTTTGATGTCTAATTTCTTGAGTTCCTTATATATTCTGGATATCAGTCCTCTGTCAGATGTGGGGTTGGTGAAGATCTTTTCCCATTCTGTAGGCTGTCGCTTTGCCTTGTTGACCGTATCCTTTGCTCTACAAAAGCTTCTCAGTTTCAAGAGGTCCCATTGATTGATTGTTTCTCTCAGAGTCTGTGCTACTGGTGTTCTATTTAGTAATACCGTTACTTTTGCTTAATCATTTTATGTATATTACATTTTGAATATGTGGTGATAATTAATGAATAAAGCAAATGTTTACTTGTAACATGAAAGTTAGTAAAAGCAATGCCTAAAATAGGAAGAGGACAAAATAAAAACCTACAATACATACACATATGCTTACATGTGTATGTATTGATTACCTGTGTGGCAGCACATGTAAAGAAATTGGTTTTATTTGTTAATACTTTGAAATAGGGTCACATGTAGCTCAAGCTGGCCTTGAACTTGCTATGTAGTCAAGGCTGGCCCCAAACTCCTAATCCTTTGGCTTCAGTCTACCAAGTATTGTGAATATAGGCATTAACTACTATACTCAGCTGTAGCATGAATCCTAATTGGTCTTATTAATAAAAACCTGGAGTCAGGGTAAATGCTGAAAGATCAGAGAAGCAGAGCAGCCAGCCTCTTGTTCTTACCTTTACAAAATCCTCAGCCTGAAAGAGACTGTGCTCCTGTCTTCTCCCGCCTTACATTCCTCTCTCTGCCCAGCCATATCACTTCCTGTCTCCATCAACCTAGGTGCTGGGATTAAAGGCCACCACTGCCTGGCCTCTGTGGCTACCTGGTGGCTTATCTCTGTACTATGATCTTTACGCAAGCTTTATTTGTTAGATCACAAACAAAATATCATCATACAGCTTGTTTTTTTTGTTTTTGTTTTTGTTTTTTTGTTTTGTTTTATATTGTGTTCTAGACTGGCCTGGGACTTAACTATGTAGCCCAGGCTGGCCATGAACTCTCTCTAGTCCTCCTGCCTCAGCCTCCCTGTAAATCAGTCATGCAGATATCCAGGTTCTTTTCATTTACAACATATTAGATTTTTAGATGAATTTATTTAGTTTGATATTTTTATTGTTTTGAGATAATTTCATTAGGTTGCCCAGGTTGGGCCTGAATTTGAGATTCTATTTCAGCCTCCTCAGTCCTGGGATTTTAGTTGTGTGTCGCCACGCCCCATACAGTTTGTGTTGCTTAGTTATTTTTGTTTTTTAAGTATTGATATTTTCAAGATTTGGAACCTCCTGATTTTAGCTGGAAGCTTTCCTGTATCCTTCCTGGCCCGCAGTCAGGACAAATCTCTCTCACCTACCAGTCCTGCAGCCGCTCAGACCCAAGTAAACACACAGAGGCTTATATTATTTGCAAACTGTATGGCCATTAGCTCACGCTTATTTCTGACTAGCTCTTACACTTAAATTAACCCATAATTCTTATTTATGTTTAGCCATGTGGCTTGGTACCTTTTCTCAGTTCTGCCTTCACATCTTGC